TGTCTGACCTGGTGCTGTGAGGCGAAAAGCTGCCCGACTGGTCAATTTACTCAGAACTAGTATATCATAACGAGTATATTACAAAAAGAAGAGTTATGTCAGGCTTCAGAGCTTCAGCTTAATGCAGAGTAATGAAATCACAAGGACTACACTGAGTTCCCTTCCAAAGTAAGTCTTTACTTCTAGTATTTTCAGAGCATTCATGGTATGCACACAATATTCCCTCAGTTTCTTCTCCCCAGCTACTGATTAGCAAGACTCCGAGGCCAGATTAAAACTATTCTATGTGACATGGAGCTGAGATTCTCAAATTAAATATTACTGGCACTGTAATGAAAGTAGTTATGTCAAGTCATGACACTTAGAGTGCTGTGAGGAAGTAGGTGCTAGGGTGAGGGTTCTGTGATCTGAGAAGCTGTCCAAAAGTAGTCCTCTCTTTCTGCCTCTGTGTTAACTTTCCTGAGACATCATGAGGCTTTGATCATGTCATTCCTGGTCACTTTGTGCTGTGAGATCTCCTGCAGACAACTGCTTCTGCAGGTAACTGCTTTTGGAGACTTAACAGCAGAGTTTTCTTTTTTGGTATCCCTTTGTAGGCTCTTAGCCTTGCTTTGTGCAGGTTGGAACATGGGTATTGCTTCTTCACACAGGTCCTGGGACCCAATTCAACTGCAAACAGCATTATGGCTGCCTATCAGCAGAAGAGGATGGTGACTCCTGTTGTACAAGGTTAGTTGAGGCTCTGAGTTATGTGCGTGTGGAGTGTCAGTGAGGTCAGTGGGCTTTGAAGCTTTTCAGCCCTTGCTACCTGCCAACAGCTGTAGTATTTGTTCAGTTGCAGGAGTTTCTTGGCTTTCTTTATGGTGTACCCTCTTGCCTTGTGGCAGGCAAGCAGCTGCCTTAATAAGGTTATATTTGCTTTAAAGTCCTGTGCTCAAACTGCTGTCTGAACTGTGACCCTGGCTTCCTCTGTGTGTAGTGCCTGACTGTTATGAGGGAACTGGAAGTTTGATTTCTTAGGGAACATGTTAGATAATTCTACTTGTAACTAACCCTCTGAATTTTTCCATCTGGCTCTGGCAGGCAGACCAGGCTCTTGACCAGGCCAGGCTACAATCTCTCACGGTGCTTTACCATCTTGAAACTAAAATAAATGAAGGGCTGAGAGACCTAGTGAGGGCTAGTCCCATCTGTCTTCCCTCTTCCCCATTAGTCCTACAGTCTTCCTCTGGTAGTCCTGGAATTGCCTGGAGAAGTCCTCTAATAAGCCTCTGGATGTGATCTGCATATTGCCACCCACCAGGGCTGTCTCCAAAAAAAATCCTTGTGCCTTTTACTCACACTTCACAGACACAGCTGGCTGTTGTGTGTGATGTCTCAGTTACTGGTGAATGAACAAAGTTCTGCTTTCTGCCTTTGATTGTTGCTTCCTCATTCTGAACAATAACACTTGATGGAGAGAGGACTTGATTTGCTCCAGAGGTTTATTTCTGTAAGCAGTTCTGCTGGGGCAGTGTTCTGTGCACACTGGTGCTGTCACCAAAGGTAAATATTACATGTCAGAGACTTTTGGGTGTCCTTTGATGTAAAAAAAAGTAAACTAAGGAACTGACAGAAACCATATTGCTGCTACCCTCTGTTCTGACACTTATCCTGTTTACTTTTCAGATCCAGAGTTGCTTATTCCACCAAAACTCAACAAAAATCTACAGTGGAAACTGCATGTTCTACAATAACTGAAAGCCACGGAATCCCAGTGGACTCTGAACTGTAACTTTTCGTGTAATGTCATTACATCTTTACAGAACCCACTGCTGTGCTGGCGTTTCTGAAACACTGTTCTCAGGGCTGTGCGCGTGCAGGCTGCCCCCAGCACATGCAGCTGTGGCCCAGCGTAGGCTGCGGTGGCCGCTCTGGATGGCCCCACGTTCGTGGGGACAGCCACTCAGGTCCCACTGCAGAGCCAGTTTGTGAGGCTGGGAATGAAGCAGCCCCACCAGGGTTGGACAGGCTGCTTTCTCTGCCTGGACTGTCTCCTGTGGATGACTTACCATGATGATGGGTCCCATTTTAAGCTGTTCAGCCTGGTTTAGAGAGCTCACCAGTGAATCTGTAGCCATAGCAAGGAGTAGTTGCTGAACAGGTGAGCTGTTGTTTTCTCTGTTGAAGCTGGGTGTTGGCAGTACTGGATTTGCATCAGAATTGCCTTGCTATGGCAGAGTGAACCCTACAGTACCAACATCAGAGAGCATGCTCGTGTTCATTCACACCAGGGAGACCTTGGGTAGAGGAAAATGGGAATAAAAATGGGGAGGGGGGGAGTGAGGGGGTGCAGTGACACACACTGCTGGGCAATACTACCCTAATTATCTGAGTTTCTGCTGCTGCATGGCACTGGCAGGTCAGTGGCTGCATCCCAGTTATGCTGAGCTACTGCAGAGCTGTTTCAGCTGGAGACTGATCTCCTACCTGGGAATTGGGTTTTACCCCAGAATACTTCTGCGGTCTGTCTTGAGAGGTAACACCAGCAGTCAGTCCTGGGAGCAGAGGAGGGGCACAAGCTCTGCAGGTGAGGCTGGAAACCCTTTCAGCAGTAGCAGCCCCCATCTCCCCCCAACTGATTTTGGCTGCTGTGTCCAGTGCAAGCCACTTCAGTTAGGTGCTGTGGAAAAATGCCAGCACAAGCCAGGCACCTCCTGTTGGAGGTATGTAATGGCACAATAACAGGCTGTGTCCGTGCTGCACAGCATTAGTATATGTCTGGTGCTGCAGATATTGGTTCTGTGATGTGGGAACTCCATCGTGTTGGAATGGCTGTGTGGGCTTGGGGTTGTTGGAGAGCAGTGGTCAAACAATCCTTTGTCAGTGTTGCATTGCAGTGGAGTGGTCTTATTTCCAGCTGTTCTGAGTTACATGGCCTGTTCTGGGTGGTGTGGGGCTTGCTTCAGCCTGCTGTCCAGTGCTGTGACCACACTGGAGAGACTGTCCAACAGTAAAGCCTTGAGGTCATTGTCCCACATCTGTGTTCTTTACTCAGTGTGCAAAAAACAATTGACACACAGAGTCAAGATACCTGTTTATCCCAGTTCAGTGCAGAAAGGGTGCTAGGCAGTAACTGCCAAAGCCAGCACTCCTTTTGAGAAATAAGATGGGCCTTCTATAAAAGACAACAGCAAAGAAGAAACTACAATAAAGTAAATGATTGGTTAGTCATTCTTGACAACTAATTCTCCATTGCCAAGGTCTGATGGTCCCCCTGCCCCAGGCACAACCTACACAAACCCACAGGCTGTGACTGTTAACCCTTTTCTTTCAACAACAAAGTGGCAACACACCTGAAAGGCTGCACAGGGTAGGAGCATTTTACTGGATCTGGGTCTTCAAAACAGTATCACAGCACAGTGTTTTCCCTCAGTAGGGGTTTAGGTTCATGCAAAGCGTGCAGGAGCCAGAGTACACAGAGTCAAGACCCACCTTCTGACCTTTAATGGTTCTGCACAGAAAGGGGTGCTGGGCAACAGCTTACAAGGCTAGCACCCCTCTTCAGAGGGGTTGTAGGGTTTAATACAGTGCACAACAAAGAAAAGGGGTGCAATACTTGTTCACTGGTCACCTTTTGGTCCTCTAAATAATGCCCTGCACATGCTCCGATTAGTGCCTAGTTCATTATACAGAGGCAGTTGGACATTAGCACGTAGGGTCTTCCAGGGGGGTGACTTCTACCATACTAATTAGTCTTGGGTTACTCTAGGGGATCACACTTTGCCCTCTCCCGTCCCCCTGGTCAGGAGGTGTTTCATCTTTTGTTGGCATTAGGTCATCCCTGTGTTATCTTATTGTGATTCTTTACTTTGAGGACAATTTCCATGTCGTGATTCTTTACTTTAAGGACCACAGTAGTCCAAGATGAAATACAGAAGCCATCTCAGATCTGGAGCAGGGCTGATGAGGAAGTCTGCAGTCCTCTCCAGTGTATGGAGGGCTCTGGCTCTGTGACTGAAATGTGACTCTGACGCTGCAAATTCCTGACATTCCTAGACCTAATGCCAGGAAATGCTGAGATCTTGCACAGCCTAATCTGTTGTCTAGAAAGAGATTCCTTCTTTAAAGAACCCAAAAGAAAGTGAAACTACTGCCAGCTTACAGAGCATTCATGCTTATGCCTAAACACAGCAGTTCTTTAATGTGTGTATAATGGGTTCTTCTGCTTTCCTGTTCCATCACAATGATGATCCAAGCTGAAGACCCTCTGCTCATAAGACATTTTCCTGTTCTCCTGTTAGGGCAAAAGCACTTTAAATCTGCTGTCCAGGTGGACAACCAGTCTTCTAAATCATTCATGTCCTGATTCATCCCTGAACTCCATCATCATCTTTCTCTACTCCTCTCCCTCCCGAATAAACTTTTAAGGCACAGTAGAGCTGGAAGCAGCACCTAGTATCCTGATCTTCCAGGGGGGAGATGTCCTGCCTCCTGCTTCCTACCTCTGCAGTTGCTGAACCTTGGCTTCCTCTCAGCTGCAGCCAGGTATCTGCTTTCCCTTGAGTTCTGCTAGGATGCTCTTAGTGATGCCCATCATCTTGAAATAAATTCTGCCTTAGCTGCTGCCTTCACAGACACATTGAATTTGCTCTTGCTGAGTTCCGCGGAGACTCTTAACAAGCATATGCAGTTACCAGGAATTGAAGTAAGCCATTCATGCAGAAATGGGGAGTTAGCTTAAGAAATGTCCCAATGTCTGAACAAACATGGCTGTATGTGTGAAGGCCTGACTCTGTCAGAGTAAAGTTTGTCACCTGTCTGCTGTCTAGCTTCATTAAATACAATACACGAAAGAAAGAAGCCTGTTTCAGGCACACAATATCACAGAAATAACACAAGTGTAGCTGTATTATAAAGAGAAATCTCTTTAATTACATCAAGGGGGGGGAAGGGAGGTGCTTTTCAATTGATTTGGGTACCTTTAATCAACGCTGGTCTTTCTAAGGCAGTGTTCCTTCTCAGAAGCACTTCTTAAAAAGGCAGGCAGGGCCATGTTCCTCATATTCACTCCTGTAAACCCAGAGATCCTGGAAAGCATGGAGTGAGGCCAGGATAGACCCACCAATCCAGACAGAAGACTTTCTTTGGGGGGAGGCAGCTGCAATGAGGTTGTCTCTGGGGCACATCCTGGCCAGTTCCATCTGGAAGCGGTCAGCAAAGCCCTCCATCACAGTGCTGCCCCCACACAGCATGATATTCCTCGCCATTTTTTTTCTGACCTCAGCATCACACTTCTTGAGACAGGCGAGTGTCATCTGCAAAAGCCCTGGCTGCTGGGAGCCAAGTAAGGCTGGTCTGAAGAGTGCTTCAGCAGAAAGGAATCTCTCCTTGCCTACAGTGACAAGGCGTCCATCCGGCAGCTCATAATCCATTTGCTGTTCCTGAACAGGCAAGCTCAAGTCCTGCGTGAGGTCCAGGGAAGTGTAACAACACTTCTCTTTGAGAGCTTGCATGATGTTTAGCTGGTGTTCTGTGAACACGTTTCCAGACTCATTTAGTAACTTCATGAGATAGCGTGTGATGTCCAGGCCACCGTAATCTGCTCTCCCAGTGATACCACGGAAGATGTAACCTTCGTAGATGGGCACCACGTGTGAAGCACCATGGCCACTTTCCACCACCAGACCTGATGTTTTTCCATACGAGTACATGGATAAGTGGGACTGGTAGGCGATGTGGATGGCTGGCATGTGAAATCCTTCAAACATCATCTCAGCATATCTCTCCTTGTAAGCAGTGGAGCACAGGGGAGGCACTGACACCAGAACAGCATGGTCCTCTGGCTGAATCCTCATGTCCGTCTGGAAAATCCACTCCAAACTGTCATGGACACAGTTCCAGTCCACCACTAAGCCATGTCTTACTGGGTTGATGAGTGTTATGGGTACGTTGTTATTCTGGGGCTCTTTTCCAACAAAAGTTTCTTTTTGATTGCTCCCAGCCTTCCCTGTGGGCTTAGGAGCTGTAGATGAAACAATACAGGAAGGCCATGGGTCCCCTGCAAAGCCACACTTGAAGTAACCTGTGCCAATGTCTATGACTACTGCTTTAGTTTCCCTCACAGCCTTGACATTACCCTTTGTCATGGACACATGGCTGTCCCTGGTAAGCTTCAAACCAGTCGTGTCTGCTGCTGCCATCCCTGCAGACCTGTCCTGTACGGCTGACTGCGTGCAGCGGGTGCTGGACGCGGTTCTCGGTGGCAGCA